TCAATATTTGTTGCCTCTGGTGGACATTATCAGCTGTACTTTTGTCTGAGCTAAGCAATGGCCTGTGACACTTGGCTGCTCACACCACTGGTGAAATCCGGTGTCAACTTACTCATTCTGGTCTCTGTCACCGCCGAACCTTGAGGGAGCTTCCCACGACAGCAGGCACTCTGGATAAGCACTCCCCACCCCAGCCTGACTTGGTTTTGCTTACTCTGGATTTGTGGCTCACTACTCTTGACCTTGACTTCTGTTCTTGCCTCCAAGTACCACAGTATTAGCGTTCTTACTTGTTCTTCCTTGATTTTTCATTTCTGGCCTGATTTATCTGATCTTTAAGTGTCTCTGATTTTCTTAGAGAAATTCTGGTCTTCATTCATAGGTGGAACAGCAGACTTGAAATCCAGTCCATTTTTTGACCAGTGTTGAAATAAACCAGAACACCTTCCCTGTTTGCTTAATGGCTGAGAAAGAAAATGAAATGTGATGGCCGGCACTATAGAACCTTTCCCAGCCTGGCTCCTGCACATGACCTGCTTGTTCTGAAATAAACTCTGTTAATGCTTATCCATTCACTTTCCTTTAAATCCCACTAAACTGAATATTTGAAGTGTCATTTTTTTTTATCTCCTTTCATGCTCAAGATGACCATGTCTCTTTATTTTTAGTCACTCTATACTGTCTCTTTTCTTGAATTTTATCTTCATTTGCACAATTTGTCACCTCAGACCATAAAGTTTTTAAAGAACTGCTTTACTGATGGATGTTTGGAGTATAAAACTATGTACATATTTAGTGTGTACAACTTGATGAGTTTGAAGATGATCATACACCTGTGGAGACATCCATAAAATTAAAGCCTTTAATAGTCGTCACTATACAAAATGTTCTCCTACCCTTTTGGTAATGTTTCCTTAGAAAAGATTTGTGCAATAAAACATGTAACATAAGATGTACCTGCTTAGTAAATTTCTAGGGTTGTGCCAGTAGATTACTGTTAAGCATAAAGCCTATGTTGTTAACAGAGCTCCATAATTTTATGGAGTTATGATTCTGCATGACTAAAACTTTGTACTCTTGAACCCATATTTTCTCCTTATCCCTTTCTCCTACACGCTGGTAACCACTACTCCAGTCTGCTTCTGAGTTTGAACACTTTAGATTTTTCATAAGAAGGTGATTGTGCAGTGTTTATGCTTTTATCTCACTTAGTGCAATGTCCTTCATGTCACAAGTTCTTCTTAGGACAGACATAGTACTTCAGTGTATACAGGAGCCACAGTTTCTGCATCTCTTCATCTGCTGATGGACATGTAGGCTGTCTTATCTTTTTTCTTTTCAAGAATGAGTTTAATTAGTATGAATTAAGCTATATCATGATTTTATCAGTCAAGGTTTTTCTGTCCATGAGATTTTACTAGTTATAACTTTTGGAAGACATCAGTTTTATTTTTATACCCTTTGCGAGATCTAAATTTCAAGTAAACCAATGTATTGATTGTACTGATATTACTATTGATAGCAATAATACCCATTATGATACCCAGTTTTATTAGCACATGTTCACATTACATGCAATTATGGTTATCTTGGAGGATGTGAACATGTACAACAGTTTGGTTATCTTATTAATCACTTTCCCTGTTACCTTCCTCCTTCTGCTTCCTTTTTGTTCTTATATTGATATTAATGTTCTTATGTTATGCTATATAATACTTATATGCACTGAGGGTATTATGTTCTTGTACATGGCATGTCTTTTTTAATAATTTTTTCCCTTTCTCTTCCTCTTCTCTCTCACACTCAGCCTCTTGGATCCCTTTCTATTTACAAGACATCTTTCTTTCTTGCTTGCTTTCTTCTTTCTTTCTTTCTTTCTTTCTTTCTTTCTTTCTTTCTTTCTTTCTCTTTTTAAATGTATTTTGGTTGTTTCAGTGTCTCACTAAGCAGCTTGGATTCTTGGCAATCCTCCTGCTTTCAGCCTCCCCAGCGTTGGCATTACAGGTGTGCACCACTGTGCCCCCCGACTCTGGCTAGCTCAGCCTTCCCTGGGGTAGGGGCTGGTGCAGCATGCAGTGCTGGGATTGAACTGCAGACCCTGTGCTTGCCTAAGCTTGCCTCAGGCACATCACTCCACTAAGCTGTCTCACTGGCTCTCTGAGCTTCTCTTTCCATCCATCTTTCATTGTGTTGTTTGTAATTTGCTTTACTCAATATGTTGTGTAAGCTTGTCTGTCTGATTTATTTACTCATAGGTATAGGAAAGGAGTTCCTAAGAACAGTGACTAGTGCACCAGAAATAACAAGAATCAGCAAACAGGATTACATCAAATGTAAAAAGCTTCAGCATAGCAAAGGAATACATTAATTGAGTAAAGAGACAAGCTACAGAATAAGAAGTAAATTTGCCAGATATTACTTAGAGGATTAACATCTAAAAAACATAAAGAACTCAAAAATTTAGTCCACCTAAA